TTAGAGATACCAAGGGGACATTTCATGCAAAGATGGGCTCAATAAAGGACAGAAATGGTAGGGACCTAACAGAAGCAGAAGATATTAAGAAGAGGTGGCAAGAATACACAGAAGAACTATACAAAAAAGATCCTCATGACCCAGATAACCATGATGGTGTGATCACCAACCTAGAGCCAGACATCCTGGAATGTGAAATCAAGTGGGCCTTAGGAAGCATCACTATGAACATAACTAGTGGAGGTGATAGCATTCCAGTTGAGCTATTTCAAACCCTAAAAGATGATGCTGTGAAAGTGCTGCACTCAATATGTCAGCAAATTTGGAAAACTCAGCAGTGGTCACAGGACTGGAAAAGGTCAGTTTTCATTCCAATCCCAAAGAAAGGCAACGCCAAAGAATGTTCAAACTACCAGATAATTGCACTCATTTCACACGCTAGTAAAGTAATGCTCAAAATTCTCCAAGCCAGGCTTCAACAGTATGTGAACCGTGAACTTCCAGATGTTCAAGCTGGATTTAGAAAAGGCAGAGGAACCAGAGATCAAATTGCCAGCATCTGCTGGATCATCGAGAAAGCTAGAGAGTTCCAGAAAAACATCTACTTCTGCTTTATTGACTATGCCAAAGCCTTTAACTCTGTAGATCACAAAAAACAGGAAAATTCTTCAAGAGACTGGAATACTAGACCACCTGACCTGCCTCCTGAGAAATGTGTATAAAGGTCAAGAAGCAACAGTTAGAACTGGACATGGAACAACAGAGTGGTTCCAAACCAGGAAAGGAGTACGTCAAGGCTGTATATTATCACCCTGCTTATTTAACTTATATGCAGAGTACATCATGAGAAATGCCGGGCTGGATGAAGCACACACTGGAATCAAGACTGCCGGGAGAAGTATCAATAACCTCAGATAGGCAGATGACACCACCCTTATGGCAGAAAGTGAAGAACAAAAGAACCTCTTGTTAAAGTGAAAGAGAGTGAAAAAGTTGGCTTAAAACTCAACATTAAGAAAACTAAGATCATGGCATCCAGTCCCATCACTTCATGGCAAATAGATGGGGGACCAATGGAAATGGTGACAGACTTTATTTTGGGGGGCTCCAAAATCACTTCAGATGGTGACTGCAGCAATGAAATTAAAAGACACTTGCTCCTTGGAAAAAAAGCTATGACCAACTTAGACATCATATTAAAAAGTAGAGACATTACTTTGCCAACAAAGGTCTGTCTAGTCAAAGCTATGATTTTTCCAGTAGTCATATGTGGATGTGAGAGTTGGACTATAAAGAAAGCTGAGCGCTGAAGAATTGATGCTTTTGAACTGTGGTGTTGGAGAAGACTCTTGAGAGTCCCTTGGACAGAAAGGGGATCCAACCAGTCCATCCTAAAGGAAATCAGTCCTGAATGTTCATTGAAAGGACTGATGCTGAAGCTGAAACTCCAATACTTTGGGCCATTTGATGTGAAGAACTGACTCATTTGCAAAGACCATAATGCTGGGAATGATTGAAGGCAAGAGGAGAAGAGGACAACAGAGGATGAGATGGTTGAAAGGCATCATTGATTCGATGGACATGGGTTTGAGTAGGCTCTGGGAGTTGGTGATGGACAGGGATGCCTGGCCTGCTGCGGTTCATGTGGTCACAAAGAGTCGGACATGACTGAGTGACTGAACTGAACTGACATGGATGGTTCAAAAGGAAAGCACGGCCAGTAGAACTCATCATTAAAGTTTAATCTGAACCATGAGGATAAACCATTCTGTCACATAACTCAGTGAAGAGAAGCAGAACAAAGTGGGAGTAAGAGTAAGAAGAGTTTTATGGCCCCAGAGAAACCTTCATCACAAGGAATGGAACAACTCAGTATGAATCTGCATTAGGCTAGGAATAAAAGCAGATTTTTGTTCTTTTTTATCTTAATGCTCCTGCTTTATTCTCTTTCATCCCTCATTCAACTGTTAAATCTCAAACATTGAATGATATTGAGGGTTTATTACTAGCTTTTTAAATGATAAAGGTATCATGATTATATGTTTAAGTAGGATCCTTTAAAGATATATATTAAACAGTTTGCAAATAAAATTATATAATGTGAGAAATTTGCTTAAAATAAAAGAGAGGACAGAGGAAGAGAAGATTTGGAATAAAATAAAACCAGCTATGAATTGATCACTGATGAAGCTGGGTGATGGGTACATAGGGGTTCATTATAGTATTTATATATCTTGATATGTATTTGAAGTTTTTCACAATAAGAAGGATTTTTTAATCTCATTTTTTGACAATGGTCCTAGTTAGATCTGCTTCTTCTGCCTTCATACTCTTGTCTTCAAAGACTTTCTATCAGTGACTCAAAGATGAGACCTACAGTTTTCTAGCAGTGGGGATGGGTTACTTTGAACAATTCACACCTTGTGACAAAGGGCATAGGTTTGAAGACCTCTGAGTAGACTTAGAAGTTCACAGTAACATAATACATGTCTTTTCTGTGGATATGTCGGCTTGTGATGCTGATGGAATGTAAAATTGTATAACCACTTTGGAAAGCATTTGGCAGTTTCTTGAAGAGTTGGGCATTTGTCACAAATTACAGAATTCCCTTTTTTATGACTGAATAATGTTCCATTGTAGTGTGTGTGTGTGTCTGTGAGTGTGTGTGTATATCACATTTTCTTTATCCATTCTTCTGTTGATAGACACTTAGATTGTTTCCATGTCTTGGCCATTGCAAATAACGCTTCAGTGAACATGGGAGTGGAGATATCTCTTCAAGATAGTGATATAATTTCCTTTGGATATATACCCTGAAGTGGGTTATATAGTAGTTTTATTTTTAATTTTCTGAGGAATCTGTATACTATTTTTCAAAGTAACTGTACCAATTTACATTCCCACCAAGAGTATCATGATAGTGATGTTTATCTTTTCATGGACCTATTGGCCATTTGAATATCTTCTTTGGAAAAATGTCTGTTCAGGACCTTTGCCCATTTTTTAACTGATTTTTTTTTTTTGTATTGAGTTATTTTCTTAAATATTTGGGATATTAACTCCTTATCAGATACATGGTTTGCAAATATCTTCTGCTATCCACTGATTGACTTTTTATCTTGTTGATTGTTTCTTTTGCTGTGCAGAAGCTTTTTAGTTTTATGTAAATCCCACTTGTTTATTTTTGCTTTTGTTGCTGGTGCTTTGGATGTCATATTCATAATATCATGTTTAAGACTGCTGTCAAGGAGCTTTTTCTCCCTGTTTCTATGTTTTCTTTAGGAGTTTTTTGGTTTGAGGTTTCACATTTAAACCTTTAATTCATACCAAGTTAATTTTTGTGAGTGGTATAAGATCAGGGTCCAGTTTCATTCTTTTGCATGCATGTGGCCAATTTTTCCAATACCTGCTTATCTCCCTTTCAAATATTAGTTGTCTATAAATGCATGGGTTTATTTGGGGGCTCACAGTTCTGTTCCATTGGCCTATATGTCTGTTTTTATGCCAGTACCTTACTGTTTTGATTACTATATCTTTACAATATAATTTGAAATCAGGAAATGAGATACGTTCACCTTACATCTTTGTCAAGATTACTTTTACTGTTTGAAGTCTTTCATGCTTTCATATAAGTTTTAGGATTATTTTTTTTCTATTTCTGTTAAAAAAAAATTGCCATTGAAACCTTGATGGGGATTGTATTGAATCTATAGATAGCATGAATAGTACAGACATTTTAACAATGATTAACTCTTCCAATCTGTGAACACGAGATATCTTTCCATTTACTTGTCTTCTTCAGTTTCTTTCATTAATCCCTCAATCCTATTTGATATGGTGTATGATCATTTTAAAATGCTGTTGAATTTGGTTGATTATTGGGAAACTTTGCATTCATCAGGGATATTGGCCTGTATTTCCTTTTCTTATAATGTCCTTGTCTGGCTTTGGTACCAGAATTATGCTGACCTGGTAAACTGAGTTTAGGATTATTATCCCCTCCTCCTCAAAGTCCTTTTCTAAACATAGTTCTCAAATCGGTCTTATTTCTTTGCAGCCTTTCCCCTCCATGCCCTTTCTCTCAACCTAATGACAAGAAAGTTGATGTTATCTAGAACAGCAATCTTAGTTCAGTAAGAAGGTGTAATATTTAATCTAAACATTGCCTCTAGGCTGATTCATTTTATTCAATTAGAAAGAATTATTGGGCCTTGTTTGCTTAAGATCTCAATCTTATCTCTTTTTTCCTCTTTAGTGTCTAAAAGTAAAGGCTTTTCCAGTTCTTTGATGACCCAAATTTCACTCTGTTCCTCTTGCAGTTATTCGCCTACTTCAAATCTTTCCTTTGTCAAAGTCAGCCCCCACACACTAATATTCTAATTCTTTCCAACCACTTCCCTTAGAGCTCTAGGCTCAGTAGGCACATGGTCTGCCTTCCTATTTTACCATCTTCTTTCTGTGAACATGATTGCTGTATTGTCAGCCTGTTACATCCATTTCCTTCTCACCTCCCCACCTGCAACTGCCAAGCCCGTGTCACACAGTTTATACTTCTGTTAAAGCAGAACCTCACTTCAGTAGTGGAGTCATTAAGAGCTTGGGTTCTGGAACTGGTCCAAAACCTGTCTCTCTTGGATAGTAGCCAAATAACTTTAGGCAAAATACTTTTCCATTCTTAATATCAAGTTTATTATCTATTATTAAAAGAAGAAAATAATATTAAATAATACACATAGAGTCCTTAGACTGTTATTGGCACTTAATACTTAATGCATTTTGTTACTGCTTTGTCCTATCAAATCCCAAGGATGGCTGCCGCTGGGCTTTCTCTTCTGTCCTGTGGACTGCTGCCTAGAGACTGTGAGATTCAGGGGGGATCCCCCCCTCCACCGCCCTCCAAGAAAAGAGAGAAGCTTTGTCGAGAGAGGGACTCCAGATGGTAGAACTAAAGCAGTACGTCTTGGATGAAATGTTAATTTAATTCTTTTTTTGATTTCTAGATTTTCCTGTTTTTAGGCAGCATGTGTTTTCTCCTAGCAGTTGGTCATTACATTTGGGAAAACAACCAAGGTTACTACTTCCAGGATTACCTGCCATGGGAAGACTATGTCTCTTCATCAGCTTTCTCTGCCGCCCTCATATTCTGGTCCTACTTCATTATCCTCAACACCATGGTGCCTATTTCCCTCTACGTCAGGTAGGCTGCTTTGACAGCTGAGGGAGGAGCTGACTTCTTCTGGGGGAGGGTACTTCCTTCTTATTCCCCAACTATACTGTGAACTTTCAGAAAACATAGGCGCTGTGCTCTTTAACCCTTTCCTTCCCAGAGTGCCTGGTGTACAAAACACTCTGAGAAATATTTAGTTTGCATAAATGCTTTCTATGTCCAGAATACTGTGCTAGATACTATGTGGGTTATATAATTTAAAAAAGTATTCCTACCCTCCAATAAGTTATAATGTACATGACTAAATAAGACATACAAACACATGAAATAATTAGAAAACAATGCACACAAATTTTGTGTTAAAGTACAAGCTAGGCAGCCCCTAGTTTATCAATGACCAGATTCTAAACAGTCATTTGTAAATGACTCAGAACTCAGAATGCTTTTTCCCCAGAAACAATGTGGCAAACTGCAGGTAGGTGTGATTGTGACTTAAATTCTGGTTCCTAAAAGATGGAGAAGATGAAGGATGTTTCCTTCCCCTTTTCATGAGCACCTTGGACAAAAATTTGAAATATAGGTAAAATAAGTCTTTACTGTATTCCAATCTCCTTTTTCGAGTTCCAGCATTTCCTTTCACATGAACGCACCCAAACACATTTTCTGCATCCTTTTCGGGTTTTCTAAACCCTTGCATTGTGGCATCCCAATCCTAAAAGCACCCTAATATATGCGTGTGTGCTAAGTTAGCTAAATTATCTTACTAATTTAATAAATATTTATTGAACAGCTACTATGTTACCAACAAAGGTACCAACAAAGGTCCGTCTAGTGAAAGCTATGGTTTTTCCAGTAGTCATGTATGGATGTGAGGGTTGGACTATAAGGAAAGCTGAGCACCGAAGAATTGATGCTTTTGAACTGTGGTGTTGAAGAAGACTTTTGAGAGTCCCTTGGACTGCAAGGCGATCCAACCAATCAATCCTAAAGGAAATCAGTCCTGAATATTCATTGAAAGGACTGACTGATGGTGAAGCTGAAACTGCAATACTTTGGCCACCTGATGCAAAGAACTGACCCATTGGAAATGACCCTGATGCTGGGAAAGATTGAAGATGGGAAGAGAAGGGGACGACAGAGGATGAGATGGCTGGATGGCATCACCAACATGATGGACATGAGTTTGAGTAGGCTCCAGGAGTTGGTGATAGATGGAGAAGCCTGGCGTGCTGCTGTCCATGGGGTCATAAAGAGTCTGAATGACTGAGCGACTGAACTCACTATGTGCCAAGCACTATATTAGGTTACAGAGAAAGATACATGAATAATAAGACAACCCTTCCTCTAGATAAGCTTATAATATAGCCATGGAAACAGATACTTAAGTAAATAATTAAGGTACAATATGAAGAATGATGTAATAGAAATTAATATGTGAATGCTATGGGAGCCTAGAAAAGGAATAAGTTGGTTCCACCTATAGAGTCTTAGGGATTTACAGAAAAAAAGTAATGATCAAACTGATACTTGAGAAAAGAGTAGAATTTACCAATCAGAAAATATGAAAATAATATTACAAGCAGAAAGATCAGTATGTACAAAGGTTGGAGGTTTTTAAAAGCTTGATCTGGTCATAGAACAATGAAGGAGCCTAGACTGAGGTGTTGGATGGTAATTTAGGATTAGATTCAGAAGAACCTTGAATGCCAGGTCAAGGAGTTTGGGCTTTATCCTAAAAGCAGCAGAGATCTTTCAAAGGAAAGAAATAATATCATTAAGTGTCTGAGTTTAGAGAGGTTGCTATGGTGACTGGTATGGTGAAGGAAGAGAGGGGTCAAAACTCAACACATGAGGACTAATAAAGTGAATAATGGGGGCTTGAGCACCACCTCCCTCACCTCAAACAAAAGATTCATGTTGCTCAATGCAGCTGTCTTAGACAGGGGTTACTAATGAAGCAATGAAATAACACTAAGTGTGAATGATGATAGGAAGGAAGGCACTTAAAAAGTCTGCACTGTTTTTAAAATGAAGACACTTGTTAACCATGTTGTTATTTAGTCACTAAGTCATGTCCAACTCTTTTGTGACCCCATGGACTGTGGCCTGCCAGGCTCCTCTGTCCATGGGATTCTCCAGGCAAGAATACTGGAGTGGGTTGCCATTTCCTTCTCCAGGAGATCTTCCCGACCCAGGAATCAAACCCACATCTCCTGCATTGGCTGAGCCACGAGGGAAGCCATAGAGAGTCTATAATGCATGTTATTTAGAATAAAAGTGGAATGTAATGAACACAACTGGGAAAATTCAGGTAAAATGGAGAGAAAGCTGTTTTAGGAAAAAGCTACCCTACAGGCAGGTGGGTCTGCCGAGAAATTTATCAGAGGATCAGCTCCTGTAAGCTGTTTCCGAGTCTCACAGATCTTCCCCTTCCTCTTCTGAAACAAAGAAGCACTGTCTCTAGTCTCAAGGATCCCTCTTCCCCATCAATGAGTTTACATGACAGCAGCAATACCCCTCTAACTAAGCTTTGGCTGCCTTTTATAAACTAGCTTAACTCTGTCAGGCCTTGCATTGTTACAGAATTTTAAAAATTTTGGAAGAAGTAGTATAAAGGGACTATGCCTCAGCAAAGTTAATCAGTATATCTGGTAATCAAGTAAAGCCTTGAGTGATAATGGTCAAAGTAGAATTACAATGGGTTGGCTGGTATGAAGGGTCCTTCAAGACTGTAGGTTCTGAGAGAAGGTATTCTGATTTTTGTTTCTACCACAGAACTGGAAAGAAGGAAACCAGGGGGATGAATTTACTTGCCCTGCCTTGACCCAGGACCATTCTTTTCTTGCTTTCTCCTTAGTGTTGAGATAATAAGATTGGGCAACAGTTTCTATATCAACTGGGATCAGAAGATGTTTTATGAGCCGAAGAACACACCAGCACGGGCGCGTACCACCACCCTTAATGAGGAGCTCGGCCAGGTCAAATACGTGTTCTCTGACAAAACGGGGACCCTGACTCAGAACATCATGATTTTCAACAAGTGTTCAATTAACGGGACATTCTATGGTATGCATGTCTTTCTACTTTCCCTTAGTCTTGGGGAAATTTTACTTTGCAGGTTTTTCTCAAGAATAATCTATCTCTAAATCTAAATCTATATGTCTCTAAATTCACATTTACTTACTCTTACAACCTGCTGTGCACGAAGCAAAGATCACCTAGTCCATTCAGTTCTAATCAAAAAACACTTATTTAGCACATTATAGATGCCATCCATTCCATTGTGTGGGACATTGGAAACATGAAGGTGTGTAAGACTTAATCTCTGTCTTCAGAGAATTGCCAGTGTCTTGGGAATGTTACTTACTCTTGCATTAAACCAGATGGTGCAACCAGGATGTTACTGAAGCTGCTTTTCTCCTGATTCTGCCTCAGACACCTGTAAACAGTCTAGAAAGAAGCTGTCAAAGGGTGTTCAGAATTTGATCAGTGTCTCTGATACCCAGTTGTTCATTTGTTTCCTGTGTTAGACGAGCTTATTTTTGTGATAGTGTTAAGTCTTCATATGTGTGAACATTATGGCAGTAACTAGCAAAGGAAAGCAATCACATCGAAATAGCTAGAGCACATGGAATATTCTTCTAGGATGATGAAAAAGCTTTGAAGCTAGAAAGATGTGATGGTGCAAAACATTGTGAACACACTAAATGCCCCTGAATTGTATACTTTAAAGTGTACAATTTTTTAAAAATTTTAAGAATTAAATTTAAAAATTAAAGTTAAAAGATTTTTAAAAGCTAGAGCATTCTAATATTTTCTATTACTCCTGCCAAACAAGTTTTCACATGTATAAACTCTGAAAGCTTATTTTTGGGTGGTTGATTTGGGTGAGGATCGTAATTTTCTGACTCATTGTGAGACCTGATCATATGTTGGGTAGGGTTGCGAAGGGTCCTGGGTGTTTCTGCACTTGGCATCAGACTGTCTTCTGCCCCCAATCTGTCTGTGCTATCTACTGGCCAAGAACCCTAAGCATTCCAGCACTACTTTAACCTCTCTTCTATGGGACTTTTCTGATGAAGAGCTTCCTGAAGTTCAAGGTCTCTCATAGATGCCAAGCCTCCAGGCTCACTTCACTCACACTTAAGGAGAAGAGGTGCACCCCAGGCAGCAGGATTCTTACCATTGGCTTGGGGAAAGGAGCTTATAGAGCACTGAGAGCCACGTGGCCTGAGGGGATTTGAGGAGCTTAACTGCAAGTCCAGAATGATAGAATCAGAAGAAATAGCTTTTAAAATCCTCCTTAGAACTTCCCTGGCAGTCCAGTGGTTAAGAAAATGCCTGCCCAATGCAGGGGATGAGTATTCGATCCGTGGTCAGGGAACTGGGTATATCCCACATACCTCAGCTAAGAGTTCAAATACTGCAACTAAAAGATTCCGCTTGTGGCAATTAAGAACTGGCACAACCAAATAAAATAACTAAATTTTTAAAAATCCTCCTTTATTTATGGGACTTCCCTGGTGATCCAGTGGTTAAGAATCCACCTTCCAATTCTGGAGACTTGAGTTTGATCCCTGTTAGGGGAACTAAGATCCCACATATGGTGAAGCAGCTAAGCCCTTACACCACAACTGCTGAGCCCGCATGCTCTGGAACCCACGAGCCACAGCTTGAGAAGCCGGCATGCTGCAACCAAAATCCAATGCAGCCAAACAAAATAAATAAACACTTTTAAAATCCTACTTTAAATTACTATGAAAAAAAAGAAAGTAAAAGCATTGATCACTCAGTCATGTCCAACTCTTTGTGGAGTTGGGCTGTAGCCCAACAGGCTCTTCTGTACATGGGATTCTCCAGACAAGAATACTGAAGTGGATAGCCATTCCTTCTTCAAGGGGATCTTCCCGACCCAGGAATTGAACCCAGGTCTCCTGCACTGCAGGCAGATCCATATGACTCAGTAATTCCATTCCTAGGTATATACCAAAAAGAGGAAAAAGAAAACAAGGATTCAGACAGAGAGACGTATGCGTGTTCATTGCAGCAGTATCCACAGTAGCCAAAGGTGGAAACAACCCACGTTTCCATCAACAGTTGAATAGGTAAACAAACTGTGATATATCCATTTAATGGAATGCTGTTATTATTCAGTCGCCAAGTCATGTAAGCCTCTTCATGATCCCATGGACTGCAGCACGCCAGATTTACCTGTCCCTCATGATCTCCTAGGGTTGGCCCAAGTTCATGTCCATTGAATCAGTGATCATTGAATCAGCCAGCCATCCATCTCATCCTCTGTTGCCCTCTTCTCCTTCTGCCTTCAATCTTTGCCAGCATCAGGCTCTTTTCTAATGAGTCAGCGGTTTGAATCAGGTAGCCAAAGTATTGGAGCTTCAGCTTTAGCATCAGAGTATTCAAGATTGACTTCCTTTTAGATTGACCATTTTGATCTCCTTGCTTTCCAGGGGACTCTCAAGAGTCTTCTCCAGCACCACAGTTTGAAAGCATCAATTCTTCGGCACTCTGCCTTCTTTATTGCCCAGCTGTCACATTTGTACATGATTACTGGAAAGACCATAGCCTTGACTATACGGACCTTTGTCAGCAAAGTGATGTCTTTGCTTTTTAACACACTGTGTAGGTTTGTCATAGCTTTCCTGCCATGGAAAGTATTCCTGTAATAGAATACTCTGACAGTTCAGTTCAGTTCAGTCGCTCAGTCGTGTCCGACTCTTTGCGATCCCATGAACTGCAGCACGTCAGGCCTCCCTGTCCATCACCAACTCCCGGAGTCCACCTAAACCCATGTCCATTGAGTTGATGATGCCATCCAACCATCTCATCCTCTGTCATCCCCTTCTCCTCCTGCCCTCGATCTTTCCCAGCATCAGGGTCTTTTCAAATGAGTCAGCTGTTCGCATCAGGTGGCCAAAGTACTGGAGTTTCAGCTTTAACGTCAGTCCTACCAATGAACACCCAGGACTGATCTCCTTTAGGATGGACTGGTTGGATCTCCTTGCATTCAAGGGACTCTCAAGAGTCTTCTCCAACACCACAGTTCAAAAGCATCAATTCTTCGGTGCTCAGCTTTCTTTATAGTCCAACTCTCACATCCATACATGACCACTGGAAAAACCATAGCCTTGACTAGACAGAACTTTGTTGGCAAAGTAATGTCTCTACTTTTGAATATGCTGTCTAGGTTGGTCATAACTTTCCTTCCAAGGAGTAAGCGTCTTTTAATTTCATGGGTGCAATCACCATCTGCAGTGATTTTGGAGCCCCCCCCCCCGCCCGCAAAAGTCAGCCACTGTTTCCACTGTTTCCCCATCTATTTGCCATGATGTGATGGGACTGGATGTCATGATCTTAGTTTTCTGAATGTTGAGTTTTAAGCCAACTTTTTCACTCTCCTCTTTCACTTTCATCAAGAGGCTCTTTAGTTCTTCTTCACTTTCTGCCATAAGGGTGGTGTCATCTGTATATCTGAGGTTGTTGATATTTCTCCTAGCAATCTTGATTCCAGCTTGTGCTTCTTCCAGCCCAGCGTTTCTCATGATGTACTCTGCATGTAAGTTAAATAAGCAGGGTGACAATATACAGCCTTGACATACTCCTTTTCCTATTTGGAACCAGTCTGTTGTTCCGTGTCCAGTTCTAACGGTTGTTCCTGACCTGCATACAGGTTTCTCAAGAGGCAGGTCAGGTGGTCTGGTATTCCCATCTCTTTCAGAATTTTCCACAGTTTATTGTGATCCACACAGTCGAAGGTTTTGGCATAGTCAATAAAGCAGAAATAGATGTTTTTCTGGAACTCTCTTGCTTTTTCAATAACTCAATGGATGTTGGCAATTTGATCTCTGGTTCCTCTGCCTTTTCTAAAACCAGCTTGAACATCTGGAAGATCATGGTTCACGTATTGCTGAAGTCTGGCTTGGAGAATTTTAAGCATTACTTTACTAGCGTGTGAGATGAGTGCAATTGTGCAGTAGTTTGAGCATTCTTTAGCATTGCCTTTCTTTGGGATAGGAATGAAAACTGACCTTTTCCAGTCCTGTGGCCACTGCTGAGTTTTCCAAATTTGCTGGCATATTGAGTGCGGCACTTTCACAGTATCATCTTTCAGGATTTGAAATAGCTCAACTGGAATTCCATCACCTCCACTAGCTTTGTTTGTAGTGATGCTTCCTAAGGCCCACTTGACTTCCCATTCCAGGATGTCTGGCTCTAGGTGAGTGATCACACCATCATAATTTTCTGTGTCATGAGGATCTTTTTTGTTTAGTTCTTCTGTGTATTCTTGCCACCTCTTCTTAATATCTTCTGCTTCTGTTAGGTCCCTACCAATTCTGTCCTTTATTGAGCCCATCTTTGCATGAAAAGTTCCCTTGGCATCTCTAATTTTCTTGAAGAGATCTCTAGTCTTTCTTGTTCTATTGTTTTCTTCTATTTTTTTGCACTGATCACTGAGGAAGGCTTTCTTGTCTCTCCTTGCTATTCTTTGGAACTCTGCATTCAAATGGGTATATCTTTCCTTTTCTCCTTTGCTTTTCGCTTCCCTTCTTTTCACAGCTATTTGTAAGCCCTCCTCAGACAGCCATTTTGCTTTTTTGCATTTCTTTTTCTTGGGGATGGTCTTGATTCCTGTCTCCTGTACACTGTCACAACCTTCGACATAAAAAGTAGTAAAGTTATGACAGATGCTACAACATGAATGATTCTTGAAAACGTTATGCTATGTGAAATAAGCCAGACAAAATAGGAAATATTTTGTATGAATTCCTATTGTATGCATCATTGTATGAAACATCTAGAATAGGCAAATTTATAGAGGCAGAAAGCAGATTAGAGGTTACCAGGTGCTGGGAATAAGGGAAAGTAGGGAGTTTCTGTTCAGGATGCTGAAAAAGTTTAGGAAATATATAATGGTGAGTGTTGCACAACATTGTGAATGATACTAATGCCACTGAGTTGTTCACTAAAAAATGGTTAAAATGAAAATTTATGTTGTATATTTATGTTATATATCTTTTACCACAATAAAAAGAAATGTAAAGCCTTCTTTAAAACCTTTGCCAAGTGTGTGCTCTGTTCACTTGCCAACAGGTGATGTCTGTGACAAAAGCGCGCCGTGGAGCAAAGTCTCGAAGGTGAGTGTTTCCGGCTCCCCATGCAGTGTACGTGGGAGCTGAGCCAGGCTGTGCTTACAGCGGCATTTCAGTACAGACTGGGGCTCCCCGAGCGCCTGAAGCACCCCAGCTGTTATTGGCCCCGTAATATCAGAAAGTGTTATGGAAATAACCTCTGTTTATTTGAGCAGATTTGGGTTTGTGTTTTTAAATGAAAATAGCTTTTTATAAGAAGGTTATTATGTATATAATTACATACAAATGATATATAAGTATTTTTAAAGTCAGGAATGTCTGAAGAAGCCAGCAAAGGGAGAAATCCTTGAGCCCATAAAAATGATCTAGGACAGAAAATGAATAGTGGTTTAAGATACTTTTTTGGAAGACATTACATTACTCAAGAACAAATTCTAGTTCTGCATATAAATATTACTTGTTTTCTCAATAGTGCTATTAAAATTTCTTTAAAACATTTATTTAATTATTAGTAAATAAATAAATAAATTGAAAATAGCTTTATTGGGTTTTTTTCTGTTTAAAAAAATTATCTATGCTCATAATAAAAGAAATTCAAATAATATAGAAATGTATGAAGAAGAAAGTTAAAAGTAATTTAGTCTCATTTAGATAACCAGTGTCAAATTTGGTAGTATTTATCCTTTCAGATACTTTTCATGTGTATATATACACACATATACATCTAAGTCTGGTAGGTAGGTAAGTAGGAAGGAAGGATGGACGGATCACAGCACCCATGCTATTTTCTGACTCTTTTTATTCATCAGACACAATATATATTGTGGCCCTCCTTCCATGTCCGTATATTTAGGTATATTTATGTCTACATCTATGTCATTTTGAATAACTGTCATATCCAGCTATATTGATGTATCTTAATTGATGTAGTCAATCCCCTGTTTTTATTCTGCTGCCTTTTGCTATTATAAATAGCATTATGATAAGCACCCAGGTACATACATTTTTGTCTCCTCTTCTGATAATTATTTCCTTAGAATAAAGTCCTGTAAGTAAAATTAGTTGCTGAAAGGATAGCTAGATTTTTAATGCATCTGATAGTGCCATATTGCCCTCTGGATAGACTGCATCAATTTATAATCCCACCAAAAATATAGGAAAATTCCTGTTTTATCATGTCCTTGTCACTACTGGGTATTAATATTTCAATCTTTAGAAATTTAATTGGTGAAAATTGTATCTCATTTAATTTACCTTTCTTTGATTACTAATCAGATTGAATCATTTTTATATACTTAGTTTCTTTCCTCTTCCTAATAACTTTATTGCCTATATGTTGTTATTTTGTGAATTTCATGTTCATATTCTTTGGGTTGTTTTTTTTTTTTTTCTTATTTCCAAGGGGTCTTTATACAGTAAAAATATCAACTTTTCCTTTGGTATATATATTACAATTATTTTTTCCATTTTTGTCTTTTGTTTATAAATTTTTGTTTAGAAGTATTTAATTTATGTAACCAATTCTATCAGTCTTTTTCTTTTATAACTTCAGGATTTGTGACATATTCAAAAGTCCTAACCCACGCAATTGTAAAAGTATTTTCCTTTTCATTTTTCCTGTCTCAGACTGGTTCATTTTTACTGTTTTTTTTTCCATTATTGGATCTTGGCTTTTGTTTATGAATTTGAGTTAAACCTTCTTTCATGAGGCTTCTTTCATTACATTCGGGGTACTCTTCACCCTATCCTTTTCCTATCAGAACCAATTCCAAACCCTTAGCCACTTGATTTACATACTGAACAGCTGACTCCAGCTCCCAACTAATGCCTCACCCTATCCATCCAGAGAGATTGGAAATGGGAAATAAAATCAGTATTTGCCTTCAATCCTCTTGCAGGGACTCTGCTAATGACCTTGGCAAAATCAACGAAGATTGCTTCTAGGGAGTAAACTGTTACCCTGGAGCGTCCTTTCTCTTCCTCTTCCTTTCACTACTGTGTGACCATAACACATTTTCCTCTGGATCAATGGAATCTTTGTTCTCTTGTAAACAAACACCCACAGCCTTATCTTTTCCTAAAAATGCTTTCTTCTCTCTACCTTGCATGAAAGATATCTTGCCCTGAGAGTATTCCTCTTCCTCCGTCTCTCACACTCAGCATACCAAAAGCCCAACCACATTGTCCTCATTATCCTGTGCCGCTTTTTTTCTTTTGGCTGCACTGGGTCTTCATTGCAGTGCACGGACTTCCCTTCTTGCAGCGCACAGGCTCTAGAATGTGTGGGCTCAGTAGCTGTGGCATACAGGCTTCTCTAGGTGCAGCATACAGGCTGTTACCCGGCAGCATATCTTAGTTCCCCAACCAGGCTTCGAACCTGGGTCCCCTGAATTAGAAAGTGGATTCTTAACCACTGGACCACTAGGGACATTCTTTCCTGTGCCACTTTTAAACTATTACTTTTTCTCCCTTGTATAATCTTTCTTCCTGTGATGTAATGTGTTGTGATGCCTTCTGGCTATCCTCCTCTCTCTTCCTGTCATTGACGTTTACAGATCTCCTGGCTTCTCCACTTCATGCTGAGGACTTTGAAACTTTGCTCATGTTGTCCCTCTCTGCCCAATCCCTGCTGTCATCTTGGTGGTATTCGTTTCTTTATGGGTGATCTAGCACCATAGATGCTTTCAGGTGTCTGAAAGAATTTATCTTTCAGATTACTTCTTGGACTCAAAAAAAATCTGTATCATCCATTTCTGGGTCATCATGTCACCATCCAGAATTGTACTATGAAATTGTAAACTCCCTTGTCATGATCTCTGGTCACAAAGCTCATTCCTCCAATTCTCTTCGTACTTGACTCCTAGTATACCTGCTTTCTTATCCTAGGAAGATTTACAAACTCTCTGTTCTCCTTCTTCTCCAGTCTGTCAGTCCCTTGTGACTTTACTTCCTTTCCCCCCATCTGTACCCAAGATCATGAGCATCTTCAACAACTCCCTTTTTTTTTCCCCTCTTTGATCTCCCAATAAATCTCAATCTTGAATTAATCAAGCCATCTACCCTTCCCTGTTTCTAATCTCAGAATGCCAAGTACTTTTTGGAGACCACAAAACCTTTACAAACTCATCAACTCCAACTTCTTTTGGGTTTCCAGTGCCACGTGGATAATTTTTTAATTTATTTATGGTCAATTTAATTCTTAATTCATTTTATTAGCTATTCCCAAAGTCACCACCCTCAGGCCTTCTACCACATATCACTCCCTTCTCCCTCAGGGCTCTATTATTGTACCTCTTTTTCCATCTTTATAGTATCATGTTTTTACTGACCTTACTGCCTACTTACTAATGAACTCCAAATCCACGTATCAGGAACCCTTTTTAGCTCCCTCCCCTTTCATGACCAAGGCTAAAGATATCCTATAAAAACTATCTATAGCTGTGTCACAGCATCTCAAAGTGCTTCCTCAATTCATTACTGCATCATCTACCGTCCATTCTAAATTCATTTCCTCTTATCTGATATCCCCGGTTTCCATCCTTTTGTCTGGGACTTGGATTTGCCATACAGCCTTATTCAACTGGATGTTTGACTTCCAATTTCAGAGTAATTCATGAATAAAACCTCTCAGATCATGCTGTACTGTCGCTGCAGACCAGCCCTGCCCCAGTCCTGTGCCCAGCTAGGTTCGGTGTTCTCAAACTTACTTGTCTGGAACAGATTAGAAACTAGCTCAGATGTCTTACCTGAGCTTCAAAACTATATGTACCTGCTGTCGTTACTACCTGTACGCCCTTCAGGTATCCCCAGGTCAATTTGTCAAAAACATTTTCAAACCATGCCCTGAATTTAATATTTATTTTGTCACTACTTCATGATTTCTCTTGTGAATTACTGAGTGGCCTACTAACTGGTCTCCCAGCCTCCTGTCTTGCTCCTTCTAATATATTCTTCATGGTGCTACCAGAGGACTATCTGATCATATGACGCTCAGCAGAAAATTACTGTGGTTCCCTATTGCATGTAATATGATAATGCAGGGTCTGCCTCATATCTGCTTCCCTAACTTCTCTCTCATCACTCACCAGCTTCTAGTCTTAAAGAATGTACCAGTACAAGAGCCCAGTTCTAGAAAAGCCTCAGAGGATGCTATAGAATGAGTTATCTTAAATTACTGAACCCACAATCTTAGCAGAACTCGCAATTCTGTGGTTGGCCAGGTCTAGAACTTGGCTCTGGATCTGACCATACTGTCTCACTATCATGACAAAAAACCCTCTAGATGGGACATAGAAAAGAGCCAGTATAGCTCACTGCAGACTACTGTTTCCCTAACTTAGCACCAAGCAGGACAATTGTGTCTGTACTTGACACATTGTGGCTCAGCTCAGTTCTGGTGTAACAGCACCACAACTACGAAGAACTGGTTATATATCCTTGAGAATTCTGGTATGGGCTGGAGAAGTCTGTTAACATCACTGCACTCCAGGGTGGGCATAAGAGAGTCTCGGGACCAAACTGAGCCAGAAAAGAATGTTTACCCAAGGTGGCTACCAGCAGCCTACCCAAAATGAATGACAGTTAACATTTAAAGGAGCCAAGCCTGTAGCCAGGAAAATGGTAGGGAATATTAGGAATAAAGATCGAAGCGAAATCAGTAACCTTAAGGACTAGAGGCAGGAAGGAATCAGGGGTGCTGATGGGTCAAGTAAAATGGTTCAAAATTAAGTTTGTGAATGAGAAGTCGGTACTGAAGCCTCCTTGCTATACATCCTTGCCTCTTATCTTGTAATATTCCTCTCTAGCCCTCTTGTGGGCTAAAATAGGAATAATGCAACACAGGGATATCATTGTACCTAACCCCTTCCCTCCCCAGCTCCCCAAATCAGATAGAGGGCAGCTAGAGACAGGACTTCACCATTTACTCATAGGGAACAGTTAGCCTCTTGTATCCTCAGGTTTGATTTATCATGGATTTGGGACTCGGAAGAATGGAGCCTGAAGGTGCCCGTTGGTCATTTAGGACAGCTGGAGTTGAAAAGGGGGCAGGAAGGGTCTGCCAGGAAGTGCTCAGCTTCCCTCCAGTGTGATGGGTCTTTTCTGAGTGAATGGGTGGTTCAGGTCAGAGTACAAAGGCCTCAGAAACCAGCACAGAATCTCTTTCACTTACCTTGCTTTTCTTTCCCCATCCTCCTGAGAGTTCTCATCACATTCCAGAAATTGCCCCTAAATCAATCAACCTTCTATGAAGTATCAAGCTGCTGTTGAGAAGTTCATTCTGGCTTATGTGTTCCAGAAAAGAGAAAAGGTCGACTTCTCCTACAACAATCTGGCCGATCCTAAGTTCTCATTTTATGACAAGACTTTGGCCGAAGCAGTGAAAAGGGGAGATGACTGGGTACACTTGTTTTTCCTGTCACTCTCATTGTGCCATACAGTGATATCAGAAGAGAAGGTAGAAGGTGAGTAATCCCGAGGCCTCACTGACTGAGCATGTGTTGAGTCTAGGCTGACGTGGGGTTGGGGGTTGGTATCGTTTGTAATGGCTTAGTCTAAGAAAGGGCTTCCCTGGTGGCTCAGAGGTTAGAGCATCTGCCTCCAATGCGGGAGACCCAGGTTCGATCCCTGGGTCGAGAAGATCCCCTGGAGAAGGAAATGGTAACCCACTCCAGTTTTCTTGCCTGGAGAATCCCATGGACGGAAGAGCCTGGTGGGCTACAGTCCACAGGGTCGCAAAGAGTCGGACACGACTGAGCGACTTCAGTTCACTGATCTAAGACAGAACTTTCTAATAGGGAGAGTTGTCCAGCAATGGGATGGATAGTCAAGGTAAGTAGTGAGCTCCTAGTCTCTGGATATATTTAAGTAGAAAACAACCTCCTGGTCTTAAAGAAGATTCAGTCATCGGATTGGGGTCAAACTTGGTGCTATCTAGGGAACTTGAGGTTCTCTAATGTTCTGTCACAGAGTTTGTCTAATTTATTGCCAAGATCAACCCCACTACCTCTGACAAGACTTCCTAAAGGATGAGTTGTCATCCTCTTGTTGCTTCACAATTTAAAGGTATCCCTGTATACCCTAATTTCTTCAATCACCAAATATGACAATGTCATCCATGAATTTATTGAAATCTTTTTTGTAAATAATGAGAAATTACTGATTTTAATTTAAAAAGACCTTTTCCTTAACAAACAAGAATTTAGGCAGCCAAGTGAATCACATCTTTTAAAGTCAATATAATTGACTTAATAGAATACTACCATGAGTAACACCTTATATTTTTACATCACTTTATAATTTTAAAAGTTGCTTTCATTTATTTTACCTCCCACAGTCTTCACGACAGCCCTCTGCAGAATAAGAAGAATGATCCTTGTTTTATAGCAAAGTAAGCTGAAGCTAAAAGAAATTAAGTGACTTGACTAAAACCCTATAGCTAAGAAAGGCAGAAATGGAATAAGAACCCAAATCTCGTGTCATCTGGCCCCATAAGCTCCCACCCCACTAAGGCCTCTCCGGGTCTGACATTCCAGTAAATCGCTATGACTTGAAGCACACTTGGACTTACCTTTGTTTACTTCTTGAGTGAGTGCCAAGGTAGGAAACACACAAGAAAATAGTCTCATTATCCCTTGGACACGTTGTGTGTCTGACCTAAAATTATACTGCCTCGTCCACATCATTCCCAAGTATAATATTCTGGCGGTGCATAATTATTTTCAAATTCAATTGGCCTTCAAAAGAGAAATAATCCAAAACATAGCTCAGGTTATGGAGGTATCCTAAGAGAAGAGCTCCAGATATGTCTTGAGTAATATCAGGTTGAAAGATTGCTTCAACAGAGTAAGTCATTTAACTTCCCAGGGTGAGAGTTTCAAAGGCAACAATACTCATTCATATATATTTTCTAACTGTTTCCTAAACAAACCATCAACCTTGTTACCCTGTAGCAGTGTTCATCAAAGTGCAGCCAGTCTTATGCAGGAGCACTTTACGTAGACCCATCTGCATGAGACTCACTCAGGAGATTTGTTAAAACTCAATTTCCTGGACTATCCTTCTGGGCTTTGTGATTCTGGATTCAGTAGTCTGGGTCGGACCCAAGAACCTTCATTTCTAACAACCTCCTGAGCCACCTTTACCCTCTAAAGTTGGAAAGTAGCTACCTATGTTTTGTTTGTGTTCATGTACTGTGTACCTCTATAATACTAACTCAGATCTGTGAAATGAGGTGAAAATATTAGAAAGAAAAAAGAAACTACTTGTTCTATGCAACCTGGCCTTTTAGGGCCAGACTCATGAGGAAATTTGGAAGACAGATGCCCCCTCCGGGGCTCCATCTTTATATCAGCCACTTGGAAGACAGACTAACTTCTGGGTGGACTTCATCCGCACATCTCTATGGGCTCTGGCTGCCCCCTTCTCTCCTGCCAGGTGAGCTGGTTTACCAGGCTCAGTCCCCAGATGAAGGTGCCCTGGTCACTGCTGCCAGGAACTTTGGCTTTGTGTTCCGTTCCCGCACGTCTGAGACAATCGTGGTAGTCGAAATGGGGAAAACGAGAATCTACCAGCTGCTGGCTATCTTGGACTTCAGCAATGTGCGCAAGAGGATGTCTGTTATTGGTGGGTGCCCCTCCCCGTCAGCCCTCTCCCCGTCTTTGTCTTTCATATACATCCACACGTTGATTTTCTCTTCTGTCTGCACACAAATATTTTCTCTCACCTGCATGCCATTTCCAAGGCACTCTTGTCGCAAATACAAACACAGCCATTCCCACTTTCTCTCTCATAATTCTTTATATTTCCTTCTATACACATATGTAAACTTAACAACCACATGCTAAGCCCCTTATTTAGTGATCCTGGATAGTGACTTCTCAGAACTTTTAAAGCCAAGATAAGAATGGAGAATAAACTCATAAAGCCTGAACTTGGAATGAGAAATGGGGGCGGACATTATGGGGGAAATTCATACTATCTTGCTGTCAATTAGTTTGGGCCTCAGACTGAAGAGGAAGCTCACTTTTATTCCTTGGTCCTCACTAGGTATGGGCTTTGGTCTGGAATTTGGACTTGAGAAGCTAAATGTGATTCTGTATCAGTCTTCCATAGGTGATGTGGAACCCATGGAAAAACTGGTTCCAAGCGATCTTCTCTCGCTCTCCCCAGCCCTCATCATTTACCCTGTGTGACCACTCACTGAGTGCTTAGCCCCCCGTGGTATCAGAAACAAACGTCTTGGGAACAGCCTTCTGCCATCCCTCAGTGGCTCTGACATGGTCTTGTGACAATGGACCCATCTGGTTACTTTGCTTAATTTGCTTATTTTCAGTGAGGACACCTGAAAACCGCATACTGTTATTCTGCAAGGGTGCAGACACGATCCTCTGTCAGCTCCTCCATCCATCCTGTGGATCCCTCAAAGACATAACCATGGACCATTTAGATGTAAGTGTTCCGGTTGCGGGGGAGGAGAGCAGCAGGTGGCTCTGTGTATCTGGATGTGTGTCTGCATATGTATCCCCACATCACTGTGTTTCAGTATGAGGTAGATTGGTATCTGTGTCTCTTTAATTGATAGAAGAGTAAAAGCTACCTCCTTCTGTGGGATTCTCATTGACCACATTGCCAGCTTCTGCAGTGAGGAGTTGAATGGGCCAGGATCCCAGGGGTCATGATGAGAATGTGTTGTAGGAGCACTTACTACAATCAAGACTCTCTGATTCCTGGCCCAGTCATGACAGAAACAGACTGCTTTTAGGTATGGAGCAGAAATCACCAGGCCTGGACTGTTTAGCTGACTGCGTGACACCATCCTCTGTTATTTATAGGGGTAGAATCCCCACGGCTACCCACCTGCCCCACTCCACTTCCACCTTCTGGGATTTGAGATGTAACAGAAAGGAGAGTGGCTCCCATTTGCTAACATTAGAAAGGAAAACCATATTCATGCTCACTGAGATTTCTACCCCTAAACCTGGATATATCAAGGGTTGGAGGGATAGGACAGGGGATGTGATGGGAGAAGAGGCAGATCAGAGAAGTATTTTAAGGAAGAAATAGTTTGGAGGAAATGCTATTTTATTAGGACATTTTGGTGTGGCCCTACATTAACACAGTCGGAAATCAGAACAAATGGCCAATAGGCACATGAAAAGATGTTCAATGTCATAGCCATCAGGGGAAAGCAAATCAAATCGCAAGATGCTACTTCACATCACTAAGGTAACTAAAATCAAACAGATGACCAGACGATAATGAGTACTGCCAAGGATATAGAGAGATTGTAACCTGCACACATTGCTGACGAGAATGTAAAACGGTGCAGCCATTTTGGAAAACAGTCTGGCAATGGCAGTTCCTGAAAAAGCTAAGCACAGAATTGACATATGACCCAGCAATTCCACTCCTAGGTATATTCCCAGGAGAAATGAAAACTTGCATTCACACAAAAACATGTACACTAATGCTTATTGTTATAAGCATTATTCATAATAACAAAAATATAGAAACCACCCAGATCCCCATCAGTGGATGAATGAGTAAATAAAATGTGACAAATCTGTACAGTGAATGCTATTCAGTCACAGAAGGGAAAGACATACTTAATACATGCTACAATGTGTAGCATGATAAACCTTGAAAACATTATGCTAAGTGAAAGAAGCCAGTCACAAAGGGCCAGTATTTTATGATTTCATTTATGTGAAATGTACAGAACAGGCAAATCTGTAGAAGAGAAAGTAGATTAGTGGTTACCAGGGGCTACAGGAAAAGGAAATGGGAATGAATGCTAATAGGTAATGGGGTTTCATCATCTCAGAGATGATAAACATGTTTGGGGTTAAGATAATAGTGAAGGTTGCACAACTTTATGAATATATATACATATAGATACATAGAAAGTGAAAGTTGCTCAGTTGTGTCCAGTTCTTTGTAACCCCATGGACTATACAGTCCATGGAATTCTCCAGGGCAGAATACTGGAGTAGGTAGCCATTCCCTTCTCCGGGGGATCTTCCCTACCCAGGGATAAAACCCAGGTCTCCCACGTTGCAGGTGTATACATATATATACATATACATTATATTATATATAGTTGTGTATCTATATATTACACTTGATTGTGCACTTTATTAGGGTGATTTTTATGGCACATAACATTGTATCTCCAGTTTTTGAAAAAAATCACTGACGTGTCCCTCATAGGACAGCTCTCATACTGGTTTCTTGAGGTCACAGTTTTGTTTCTCTGTGTGTGTGTGTGTTATAGGCTACTCTGAAAACCTCCCTTATCTTTTAACCGTACAGAACACATGAATTAGGGTGTCTTCTCAGCATTTCCACAGACTGGATTCAAAGGGGAATCATAAAACCACTTCAGATCTTTTGACCTGCAACCAACCTTAAGAGATACCCGTAGTGGAGCCTGACTCCGTTAGTCTATTAACCACTGGGGATATTCTGTAAGAGTCAAGTTCCATAAACCCATTCGTGCAGAAGCGCAGCTCCAAGCCCCCTAAGACAGGAATCCCGCAAACAGATCACACAAAAACAGGCGGCAGTCAGGACCCCAGGGCCCCAGTTTGCTCCCCACAAGAGAAAAGAAAAACATACAAGTAAGAGATATGTAAGAAATAAAGTTAAGGACAGACTGCTAAAGTATTTGTTGACTGGATTAAGAATCTGTCAATGTATTGTTAGGCTTGCCAAGACCTCTTTATCAGTAGACCGTGCAAGATCAATTTCTGCCATATCTCTTCCTTCTTTTTTTAAATGGCTGATGTATATTTTTAATTCCTGAATATATATGTGCATATATGTACATATATTATTGAGGTAAAATTGGCATGTAATATTAAATAAGTTTTAGGTGTACACATTATAATTTGATAATTGTATATATTCAAAGTGATCCCCACTTTGTCTTATTATCACCCATCCCCATCAGTTGACCCCCTTTCACCCCCAACCCCTTTCCCTTCTAGTAACCCCCAATATATTCTCTTTATCTATGAGTTTGTTTTTGTTTTGCTTGTTCATTTGTTTGTTTTTTGGATTCCACGTATGAGTGAAATCATATGGTGTCTGGTCTTTCTTTATCTGATTTATTTCAAATAGCATAGTACTGTGAGGGTCCATCCATCTGTCACAGATAGTGAGATTTCTGCTTTTTATGGCTGCGTAGTGTTCCATTCATCAGAGGACACTCAGGTTGTTTCCGTGTCTTAACTGTTGTAAATATTGCTGCAGTGAACATAAGGGTGCATGTATCTTTCTGAATTAGTGATTTCATTTTATTTGGATAAATACTCAGAAGTGAAATAGCTGGATCTGGGTCGTATGGTAATTCTATTTTAAATTATCAAAAAGACAAGAAATAACGAGGGTTGGTGAGGATGTGGAGAAAAGGGAACCCTCATACACTGTTGGTGGGAATATACAAACTGGTGCAACCATTAGGGAAAGCAGTATGAAGATGTTTCCTTTGTAAGAAGTCTCTTGAGATCATCTCTCAGCCTTCTTTTTTATAGCTTCACCTGTCAACAGTAAAGAGATTGAAGAGAGAGGATTCTTGGGACTTCCCTGGTGGTCCAGTGGTTAAGACTCTGCGATCTCAGTGTAGGGGACCTGGGGTTCAACCCCTGGTCAGGGAACTAGATCTCACATGCTGCAACTAAGACTGCTGCTGCTGCTGCTGCTGCTAAGTCACTTCAGTTGTGTCCGACTCTGTGCGACGCCATAGACGGCAGCCCACCAGGCTCCCCCATCCCTGGCACTCTCCAGGCAAGAACACTGGAGTGGGTTGACTGGACACAGCCAAATAAATTAATTAATTTTTTAAAAAAGAGATAGGATTCGCTACAGATATTCCTGGATGTTATTTTTACCTGACAGCTAACATAAAGTACTCAGGAGTTATACAGACAACTAATAACAAAATATCAAGGTGATAAATTCTGTTTCTCTTCGGTCTTATGATGCCAAAGTGAATTATTTTAAAGCTCACTATTACCAGTGATTGTGTAGAATTGTTATTCATTTGCAGTTCTCAACACGCAAAGCCTGCTTCTAACCCACTTTCAGTTAGATATGGATTGTGCCCCAAACTACCCACACTGTCCCCTTGCTTTCCTTATAACCAAGAGTATACTTCTGCAAGAGAGTTAGTTGTGGTTAGTTAGGATACATTGGTGGCCAAAGAGCAAAAGGTACTAACTTACTCAGAGAGTATTTCAGCAGTGGCCTCATTAGTACTCTTGGCTATGACTAATCAGCTGAGCCAACCAGCTGTAGGGGGTGGTGATGGTTTAGTTGCTAAGTCATGTCTGACTCTTTGCAACCCCATGGACTGTAGTCTACCAGGCTCCTCTCTGTCCATGGGATTTCCCAGGCAAGAAGGGGAGTGGGTTACCATTTCCTTCTCCAGGGCATCTTCCCAAACTAGGGGATGAACTCACGTCTCCTGTTTGGGCAGGTGGATTCTTTACCACTGAGCCACCTGGGAAACCAACCAGCTGTAGACAGATACACAGATTTGCTATTTAAGATGCCCACTGCATACTTGATAAAGGAAGGCAGGAAGAAATGAAAATAAATGAATGTATGCTTGTAAAAAAAAAAACAGTAACACCCTTATTTTTTATAAAAAAAAATTCCTTTTTACTTTATTACTCCCTTCTTTCTCATATTATAAACATCATTATCTTCTGTGTGGAGGGTGAATTACTATTCCAATTTTAGAAGAAATCTGAAGGCTTCATTCTTTACCACGGTCCCAGCAAACTACCTAACCATAGGTAGAAGTTAGAATCTTCTGTCTCGGAAGTATTCTCAGACTTTATACCCAGCTATGCTGGCCTTGTCTTTAGGACATCTGACTGAGAAAACAGGTGCTTTCTGGTTAGGCTAGGTAGTAGCCCTGTGATGCGAGGCAGTAAAGCCTCTTGCGGGCAGAGGGAGCGTGTGGGGCCGGTCTGTTGTCCCTTGACTCAGCCCTGACTCAGCCCAGGCCCACTCAGTGCACACACGTGTCTTCCAGGACTTTGCCAGTGATGGCCTTCGCACCCTCATGGTGGCCTACCGAGAGCTGGACAGTGCATTCTTCCAGGACTGGAGCAAGAAGCACAGTGAAGCCTGCTTGTCTTTGGAGAATCGGGAAAATGAAATATCAATTGTCTGTGAAGAGATTGAGAGAGACCTGATGGTTAGTGTGAGAAAATCAGGGGCAGATTGGGGGCAGGGGAGCAGTTGGGAGACTGAATGAGGACTCTGAGGATGGCTTCTGGCAAGTCATAGGTCAGGCTGTCTCTAGATACTGGAATCCAAGCTGACTCAGAATATTGTGGATCTTTGAAATCCATAAATAATGAAAAAATGCATTGGTAGTAAATTTCATCTTTCTGGCAGTGTTTCTTATCCCAAAGATGTCCACAGAAGCTAAGTAATCGGGAAGAAATCAGGTCTGAATGATGTGCAAATTAGATAACCCAGAATTAATTGATGGATTAATCAAGACAATAGTATTCATTCTTTCATTCAACAATATTTTATTAACTGCTGTGCCAGGTACTGTTTTAAGCCCTGAGCATGTAGTAGTAGACAAAACAGACCAAAAAGTAATATATATACATAGTATGTTAGGTGGTAACAGTTCTGTGGAAGGAAATAAAGCCAGGAAGAAAGGCTGGGAGTATGTGTGTGTATTATAGAAGACAGAGCATAACTGCTATTTTAAATAAGGCACTAGGTCTTCACTATGAAAAAGACATCTGAGCAGAGATCTGAAGAAGGTGCAAGCCAAGCAGATCTCTGGGGAGTCAGTTTTCCAGAAAGAAGGAATAGTAAAAGCAAGGGCCCTGAAACAGGAGCAGACCTTTTGTTAGTTGAAGAGCAAGGCAGCTGCTGTGACTGATACCGTGTAAGCGAGGAGGCGTGAATGAAGGGACAGGAAGCAGAGACGCCAGCAGCAGGCCTTGACAGGCTGGTATAAAGATTCAGAGTGAGCCATGGAAAACCTCTGAGGAGCTCAACCCGAGGAGGGTGGGAGAGCTTTTACAGGGATCAGTCTGACTGCCCTGTGGAGCTTATGCTATGAAGGAGCAAGTGCAGACACAGGGAGACCAAGGAGGAAGTAACTGCAGCAGTACCAGAGAGAAATGATGATGGCTTGGATCAGACGGAAGTAGCGGAAGTGGTGAGAAATGATCAAATTATGTACATTTTTAAACAGTGGAGCCCACAGAATTTGCTGGTGGGTTATAGAATATGATAAAAGAAGTTAAGGGTGAACTCAAAATTTTTGACCAGGTTGATACAGGCTCTGCTATAAAAACAGAAATTGCTGCGGTCTAGTGGTTGAGAATTCAGCCGCCAACACGGGAGACAGGGGTTCAGTCCCCGGTCTGGGAAGATCCCAGATCCACGGGCAACGAAGCTCCTGTGCCGCAGCTACTGAGCCTGTTGGAGCCCGGGAGCCACAGCTGTTGAGCCCACGTGTTACAGCTACTGAAGCCCGCACGCTCTCGAGGCCACACGCCTCAACAAGAGACGCTGCCACAGAGAGAAGCCTGCACACCACAACTAGAAAAAAGCCCAGACAGCATTTTTGAAGACCCAGCTGAAGACCCAGCACAGCCAAAAATAAATAAATAAAATTGTTTTAGTAAAAATAAGAGAAATTGCTGATGCCAAATGGGAAAATTTAGAGATGCCAAAGGTCGCAAATCTCCTTCCGTGGTAAGCTCTGCGGTTAGTGTTTCGAGTCTGTCCTTTTAGAGGCCCAGCAGCAGTCAGGCGGTCGTTTGTCCATCTGTCAGTTCCTCAGACTCCGTGTTGGTGCCCCCCTCCATGGTCAGCAGGGTATCATTGAGAAGAAGGCATAGTGTGGACCAACATGCTTTTGATCTAGTGTGGGAAAGGCCTTAAAAACCTTAGAAGCCCTCAGTAGATAAAAACAAATGAAGTTCATCCAAACTCATTTAGAGCTGAAAAACTAGAGTTGGATTTGGGAGTCCCTTGTCTGAGACATACCACTTTTGGAGACCAAAGCCAGGAAACGTGCTCTGAAGAGCACGTGCAAGGGAGAAGGAAAAGTGTGTTGAGAAACAGAGGATTTAGAAGTGGCACAAAGCTTCATGTATGACTTAGTCTTCTTCCCTCTTTGATGCCTTATATTCTCTTTCTAAATTTGATGTCAGTGTGTGATTGAAGAAGTGTGTCTGTTGAAGGGCAGGAGGTCGTGAGTTTTATGCCATTGAGGCCCTCTTGCCAGGACAGAGCCAGCTTGCTAAAGAGGATGCTAAGGTGCCAGTCAAGTTGTTGGATACCACTAAATGCGGGGAAAGATTGAAGGCAGGGGGAGAAGGGGTGACAGAGGATGATGGTTGGATGGCATCGACTGAGCGGACATGAGTTGAACAAATTGTGGGAGGTAGTGAGGGACAGGGAAGCCTGGCATGCTGCAGTCCATGGGGTCACAGAGAGTCAGATATGACTGAGCGACTGATCAACAACAAAATGCCATGAGTCTCTTCCTTTTCCTCTCTCACTGATATCTCTGTTTGAAGCTGTTAGGGGCCACAGCCATAGAAGACAAGCTGCAGGATGGAGTACCTGAGACGATCCTCACCCTGAACAAAGCCAAAATTAAAATTTGGGTTTTAACTGGAGATAAGCAAGGTAAAGGGGAGTTCCTTGCCTGACCAATGCTACAGCCTAAATATATCTCAGTCCCCCATAAAATCTAGCATAGAAACGGACACAGTACTATTCAAGAAAGTATATCCAGATTGCCTGGAGAAGTGAGTACAGGCTAGAATTGCTTTAAGTAATAAGGCAAGCTTCCTAGGGGAAGCTAAGCCAGAATGATCCTAGTTATTGATCGATAACTTACAAGTCTGTCCTGTGGATATTTGAATATAGTCTCTGCTGACTCATGAAAAACACGTTCAGCTGCCTCCGAGGCAAATGTGGACACACGGGGTCTGCAGCCCACTGTCTGCTCCTTGTGCCTCTGCACCATAAAGCCCCTGTCCCAGCCAACTGCGACCTGCGTTCCCCCTTGCCCTGCAGAGACTGCTGTGAACATTGCCTATGCCTGTAACATATTCGAGGATGAGATGGATGAGATATTTATTGTGGAAGGCAACAACGATGAGACTGTTGGGGGAGAACTCAGGTATGAGGGAAGAGCTGCCACAGCCTGTCACCAGAACCAAGATTTCCCGCCCATCTCTGCCCCCAGTGTGGCCCCCACATTACCAGAGAAACAGAGAAGTAGGGGAGGGCAAAACAGAAATCCTAAAATATCTGAGAGAATTTCGTGAGGAAGCTTTAGAGCTCAAGGAGTGTGCGCAAGTGGAGAAGTGTCATGGGCAGCTAACACGTAAGGCGGGGGTGGGTCTCACGGGGTGGTTGAGTCTGAGGCCCCGGGAGGTACTCTGCAGAGGTTCTGTATCTGTCTGGCCCATTTTCACTTTGGGACACCTTTTCCTCCCTAGGCTCTAGGGCTTCCGGTCAGACGTTAATCATCACTATTGGCTTGCAGGTCAGCAAGGGAAAAGATGAAACCCGACTCTCTACTGGAATCAGACCCCGTAAACAGTTACCTCGCCACAAAGCCCCAGCCACCCTTCAAAATACCTGAGGAGGTGCCCAATGGCAGCTATGGCTTAATCATCACTGGCTACAGTCTGGTGGGCAATACAGATCTACAACTCTGTTCTCTTCTTCCAAGGAACTCTTTTCCTAGGTCCAACCCACTTCCGGGAAATTTCAAGATCCTTTTGCTGTTCCTTGAGTTACCCTAGGCCCCCTCCCTGTCAGACACCTTTCCCCGGCCTTCTCTAGGCAGGAGTAATGAGGAAAGAGAAGCCAAGAGCCTATTCCTTCCTTCTCCAAATTCTTCACTGCTGATGTGGCCCATTACTTGAGGAAGGGGGAAGTGAGCCGAACCAGGTCCTCCAAAAGGTCTCTGGGCCTTTTAACCCAGTCAATCAATTTGACCCAGTGGGAGACTCTCATGGTTTCCCACTGGAAGCTGGGTCAGAATGCCTAGAACTGACTTGGGGGCTTGGCTTCCCTGGGAATGGAGCATCTTGGGAGCAGCTCTGCCTGCGAGAGGAGAATGGAGGGGAAAGAGAGGGCCGAGGAAGGTTCTGTCCCAAGAGGTTTGGGGGCAGCCTGGAATGTAGATGTGTCCTGGTGCTGCAGGCCCACGCTCTAGAAGGAAACCTGGAGTTGGAACTGCTGCGGACGGCGTGCATGTGCAAGGGGGTGATCTGCTGCCGGATGACGCCCCTCCAGAAGGCCCAGGTGGTAGAACTGGTGAAGAAGTACAAGAGGGCGGTGACACTGGCCATCGGTGATGGAGCCAATGACGTCAGCATGATCAAAGGCATGTGGAGGGGCTGGGGGCAGCAGTGCCTGGCCACAGGCCGGCCCTCTCCTTCTCCCATGGGCAAGACTGATGTGCGTGGCACTGTGGTGCTGGTCCATTCTCCTGCATATCTCCTGTATGTATTGTACATTTATATTGTTCTGCAACTTCATTCATGTTCCTCGGCACCTGAGTACCCACTTATTTATGCATCATTACATACAGTCATGCACACACATTCAGATTCACACGTGTAACACTCATGCACTCAGATACCCATGGCTCCAACATGAACACAAGCACATACTCAGAGTACAACAAGCTACACAAACAAAACACCCATCTTGTTGAGATGGCGTCAAAGCCCCCAGAAAGGACCCTGGGGCCGGAGTCACGGTTGGTTCCTTTGTTGAAGGCTGTAGAGTTGAGCAAGGTTATGCAGACAGCAGGGCTGCCCAACCAGGGAATTAGCTGTGCAGCCTGATGCAGGGATGTTTTCCTCTCCGAGGCAGTATTCCCAAGAGCTTGCCCTGACTCCCCTGGCTGGAGAAGAATAGCAAACTTACTGATGCTTCAGAGTAATGGAAGCAAATGGCTGAAACTGGTGTTACTTTCAGCTGACTGTTGTGAGCCTCCAGCAGCTTGTAGTTCTGTGAGCTATGATAATGTCTAGGGGTCCTCTAGTCCAGCCTCTCTCCCCATACTGAAAACACTAGCATATATGCCAATCTCAGTTTCAACACTAGGAGGTGTTCTTGCTCTCTTTCTCCAGTTTCTAGAACTTCTTTGACTTTTAGGGCCTCAGAGGTTTTAGTTATTCTGTTAAGCAGTGTAATCGGAGTACCAGGAGATCAAAGAATTTAATCTATACTACAACAGGCCAATTAAAACTTTTAGAAATTTAAGTCTTGTCTTCCATCAAGCATAAAAGTGAGAGTATTAGTCGCTCAGTCATGTCTGACCCTATGCGACCCTGTGACCTGTAGCCTGCTAGGCTCCTCTGTCCATGGAATTTTCCAAGCAAGAATACTGGAGGGCATAGCCATTCCCTTCTCCAGGGAATCTTCCTGACCCAGGGATTGAAGCCAAGTCTCCCTTGCTTTATCCAGAAAAAGACACCTTCAGCTTCCTGAGGAACTCATTTCTTACTAACAAAGTATGTACATAACTATTCTCCCAACAGTTGGGAGTTTAGCTCCTTAGATAAACTTAGATAAATAAATAATGTGTTAGGTTGATATCCATCCTGAATCTTTATTTTAAGTGGGCTCAAGAGATAACAAGAAATTTTTTACCTGAGCATCTGGGCAGTAGAGGAGAGCCCAGATGGCTATAGGAAGTACAAAGACCGTCAGGGACAGACTTCTACAGATGCTAGCCATGCCTGGTAATCTCGAGGGGCAACATCCAAAACAACGTGTGAATGAAGGGGCTGTTTTCTGACTTATGGGGGAAGGGAAATCCACTAAGGAGGAAAGACCCCAGTGAGCAAATACCACTTCCGCTAGGCCTACCAGTGTTTTTCAGGTGTAAAATAAGAGGTACATGAAACGTGATCTCAGCCTTAATCATACACTTCCCAGGCTGGGAGCCCAGAGAGCAAGCTCTTTGACTGAGAATTTCCTGGGGTTCCTTTGCAGTTGCCCACATTGGAGTTGGCATCAGTGGCCAGGAGGGGATGCAGGCCATGCTCAGCAGCGACTATGCCTTATCCCAGTTCCGCTATCTTCAGCGTCTGCTCTTGGTTCATGGCCGCTGGTCCTATAACCGCATGTGCAAGTTTCTAAGCTACTTCTTTTACAAAAACTTCGCCTTCACCCTGGTGCACGTCTGGTATGCCTTCTACAGCGGGTTTTCTGCACAGGTAAGTGCTCAAATGGCATTCTCCACTCTGGTCAAGTGGGCCTTCTCTAATCTTCCTCCACTTCAGCCAATTCAGACCCATTTTCACCTCTAGAAACCTGTGTGTGACATGCCACCATCCATCCTTTAAACTCCTCACCCATGATGATCCCGTCTCCTAAGCCCTGCACTTAACCTTAGACTTCGAAACTCTGGCCTGGCTCTGACTCAGCCTTGACTTCTATCCACAGAACTCTCCCAGAAGATATTTTCATCTTTTCCATGACATAGAGACCTAGAATTTCCAAACATATGTAATGGAGGTGGGGGGTGGTGAGGGTGAGATTCCTGGGTCTGAGTTTTTTAGGCTCCAGAGTAATCTTTATGGAACAGGCTAAGCCTCAGGAGGCCTTTGGGTCTTGCCAGACGGGCCGGTTCTGGCATTTACCTGTAGCCACACTTGGAAACACAGCTTCTCTTTACTTCTTCCTCACCCAGACATACCACCCTGCCAAACACTGTTGTTGCTCTAATAAGTATGAAATCTCCACAGAAGTGGGGAGAAGTGACCCTTGGATGTTGATGTTCTATGAGAATTCCCTTTTTCCTATAAGAAGTTTCTCAGGATTCCCAAGGATTCCCAAAGAGAAACAACCTCCGGAACGATTATCTTGGGAGATCCCTACTACCTTTATGACCTTAGGCTCCAGGGAAAACAGACCAGTCAGCAGACAATAGCGGGCTTGTCTGCCCCTAGTGTCTAGAGACACCACTGTGGCTTCTGAGAGGTGTATGTATATGTACATGTTACTGCTGACCTCTTGTGGCTAGGAAGGAAAGTAACTTCTGTAGGCTCATGGGTCTGTCCTGCTTGCCAGTGTTAGAAGGTGTCCAGGGTTAAAGAAACTACTGAATGCCGTAAAGCAGATAAAGAACACAGAGGCTTATGTGCCTGGGAGTGCAGGGGTACACTCAGCGTTGCCTAGAAGCCACTCCAGGTCCTTTCCACGCAGAGAGGAGCAGTACAGGTCATGGTGGAGTTGGTCTAAATCAGCCTCATCAGATTGGGCACAAACAAGTGTAATGTGGCCTTGCCCCAGCCTGGGACCAGGGACCAAACAGAGTCTGCAGTCAGCTTTCTCGGTCAGATTTCAGAAATCCAAACCATGTTCTAGGTTATCATGGTGATGGGTAGGTGGAGGGCAGAAGGGGTTCTCTTAGAGCTGGGAGGTAGAGCTGAGACTTTGGAAAAGAGAGGGATCTAAGAAATCTCCTTGGTGTTCTTCCAGACAGTTTATGATACCTGGTTTATCACTTTCTACAACCTGGTCTACACCTCCCTCCCTGTCCTGGGCTTGAGTCTGTTTGATCAGGTAAGACCAGCAACAAACCTCTTAGTCAAGGCTGAAGCCCCTGGCCCCTTGAAGAGTATTCCCAGGAATGAGGAGGACAGCAGCAGCCAAGAGATAGGCTCCAAAGTCAAAAGTAAATAGAATCATTTCTAGAGCAAGGGAGGGAGCTCACCACCTGGAGAGGTATCGTTGGATAAAGTAAAGTATGCTCTGCCACAGAGAATAATCATTGGCTGTAGAAACCCTAATTTTTCTGTGTCAATTTTTTCTTCATAGAAAGAAGCACAGACATTGTGCTGTGCAATAAATGGAGTGTGTACAAAAGTGGAAGGAAATAGTTGTTGGGACAGGACTAGATAAATCAAGGGTCTCCAGAAAGGAGAGACCCATAAAGAGACACTGGGATAAGCCAGTGCAGCGAGGCCTAGGTGAGAATCCTGAAGGCCAAACTTGGAAGTGCGGGTATGATTCCTCAAATCACAGGGAGTCAGCCTGGGGGGTACTGTCTAGTCCTCTCGGGAATTTCCCTGGGTATTGAGGGTCCTGGTGCCCTGCCTCTCCCTCTTCTACCCAACCTCCAGTCCTGGGTACCTGGAATAAAAAAGGAGCCTCCAAAGAGAAATAAAGTAGCTGAAAGAAGACATCATGGGATCATGGTTCCTGGTCTCCATCAGGGTAGGAAGGAAACTCTCCATGAAGTAGCTGCGAGCCTCAGAGCAGCAAGAGGATGAGTTCTGTCATTCAGCCTCAATCCTTGTTACCCAAAGTTTTAGATTTAGGAGATGAAGATGGTCCCATGTCATTCGCTCAGCTGAATTCCCCAGTGGCTTAACTCCCCATCTTGACCTCCTAGCTTTCTTCCACCATGTGTATCCCTGCCTAGAGAGTGGTGCTTTGGAAAGAGTCTGTGGCCACTGCTCTGTTCTCTGGTTCTGCATCTCAAGTACTCCATGAGGAATCTCCTAGGCAGCCTAAGAGCAAACTCAGTGAGGGGAGAAGCCTCTACTCTGCTAGAGATGGGACCCTCTTTGAGAGACCATGAGCCTTCCTCCTTACCCTCTGGTGCTTCTAGGACGTGAATGAAACATGGAGCCTACGCTTCCCAGAGCTGTATGAGCCAGGCCAGCACAACCTCTATTTCAACAAGAAGGAATTTGTGAAGTGTTTGCTACATGGGATCTACAGTTCTTTTGTGCTCTACTTTATCCCTATGGGGACTGTTTTCAATTCAGAGCGCAAGGATGGGAAGGAGATCTCCGACTACCAGTCCTTCTCCCTGCTAGTGCAGACCTCCTTGCTCTGTGTGGTCACAATGCAGGTGTGGCTGGCGGTGGGGTAAGGGGATTGTGTGGGAGCCTGTCTGGAAGAGAGGAAGGGAAGGAGGGAGAGAAGGCAGGAGGGGAGCGTCCTCTTTTATGAAATGGGAGAAGGGAGGTAACTGATAGATCCTGGGTTGTAGACTAATGTACATAAGAGGGTGCTTTTCAGATTACGCTGGAGACAACCTACTGGACGATGATAAGCCATGTCTTCACCTGGGGCAGCCTGGGTTTCTACTTTTGCATCTTATTCTTCCTATACAGTGATGGCTTATGCTTACTGTTCCCCGACGTCTTCCAGTTCCTAGGTAAGGCTCTGCCCAGTGTGCAAGGGGCTGGGGCTGGGGGCGGGAGTGTGAGCCAAGTATATTTGTTTATTAAATGTTTACTGAGCAGCTACTGCTATGTATTAGACTCCGTGGATATAGATATGATTGAGACATGATCTCAGCCTTAAAAGGACTCAAAATCTAGCTAGGGGAAGTACTTTACCTTATTAGAGCCTCTAAGATATTTTTAAGTTTCTTACCTAATTTGAGCATTGCAAGCATACTGAGAGATAGACAGCGTAAGAATTATTGCACTACTTTAGAGACTGGAAGTTTTTTAATGACTCAAATCTAGCCCCCCTGGTTCCCAGTCAGATGTCCTTCCTGTTATGGCATAATGCCTTCTGAGCTCCTGTGTTAATTTTCCCCTCACTCGTCTGCACTCTGATGAGGACAAAATAACAGACAGAGGTTACTGTGTATAACTGGTTCCTATTTTTTGTCAAGCCACTCATTTTTCCCCTCCAACACCCCCGTCCCGTTTCTGTGTCTCCGTCAGTGCTCTGGGACTCCTGGAACCTAGCCCCGCCGCTGCTGCCTGGCCTGGCCTTTAGAGGGAGACAAAAGCCTGTGAATTCAGTGGCCTTGGCTACACCAGGGACCCCAGCACAGTCCTTTAGCATTTGTATTTTTTCTCAGGAGACTAAACTGTTTCCAAGTCAGTAACTTCTTTCTCTGGACTGGAGAAGTACCTAAGTTCAGGCTGACAGCCCCCCTCCTCCAGGCTCTGGTCCCGCCTTTCCTCTCTGGCGCTTTGTTCACAGGTGTGGCCAGGAACACTCTGAACCTGCCACAGATGTGGCTGTGTGTTGTCCTCAGCATCATCCTCTGCATGCTGCCTGTGGTTGGGTACCAGTTTCTCAAACCGCTGTTCTGGCCCGTCAGTGTGGACCAGGTGAGTGCAGCAGGAATCTACCCGAACAGAATTCATGGCCCTTTAGCCTTTGCTCTGCGGATAAAAACCCTGTCCCCGTGCTCTGACTGTAGATTGTTGACAGAATTCATCACTGCATGAGACATCCACTGCCATACCCATTCAGGACCAAACTGAAACACACAGCCTCTCGCCGCTCTGCCTACGCGTTTTCCCACAAACAGGGCTTTGGGGCCCTCATCACTTCCGGCAAGACCATGAAGGCCAGATTTCCCAAGAGAAACAGCTTTCCTCATAAAAGGTAGAGGTCTTTGGGGAAGCCCCAGAGGAGGCAGTCATTGCTCTTCCTCTCTTGCATTCACGAAACTTCATAAGGAGAGACTAGAGCCCCTGGAAATAGCATAAAGTCGTGCTTCCACTCACTGCAGGGGCTCAGCCCCTCATTCCCTCGAAGGCTGTGCCCAGGTAAGGCAGGGCAGAGTAGAGAATGAGCCCGACAGCTGTCGGAGTTACAGCATTTCAAGAAGAAGTCATCTCAGGCCTCCCCCTGCCTTCCAAGTTCTAATCTGGACAAGCACATGTGGAGATACTGAGTGAAGAGGGGCAATGTGAGGAAGGGAAAAGAAGGATCTAATAATCGTTCCCATACCCAGAGCAACCATAAAATCTGCCAGGGCCCCGCACAAGCATATTCACCCAGGCGCCTTCACCGGCTTTATCTGAGGGATTCAGGTAAATCTTTTGCTGGGCTGGGTACCAAAAGGAGGAGACAGCTGGGAACAGTTGGTCATAAGAAGCCAAAGGAGAGTTTCTGAACCAAAAAAAGAATAGAAATTGTTCCTGCCTTGGTAGGACAGCTCAAGATTTTGCCGCCTTCTCTTCTCTTTGACCCAAGAACTGACACCTTTTCAGGCCTCAGAACTGGGACAGGGAAAATGCAGGGGATTTAAAAAATCTTTTCTTGAGGGACATAAGCCATAACTGGTGAACGTTTGTCTTCATTCCATAAAATTATTTTGAGAAGAAATTGTATGTACTTAAGAAACTGTTTCTAATAAGTTTATAGATAAGTAATAAACTGCTTATTTTGGAGTGGAGAGATTCATATGGTCTGTTGGGGTCCCAGTGATAGTAACTCAGGCCAAGCCATAGCATCAGTCTATAGACTCCTGACACCTGCCCCCTTTCAAATGAGACCAGTGTTTCCCTTCCCCCACTCTTTCTCTACTTCTTTACTTCCATTCCACTTTTCTTCCCCCTGTTGCTAAACTCCGTCTTGGCCCCAGCGTCTTTTAACTGTATATTTATATCCAGTTTGCAGACCTTAAATATCAGTCCCCAGAGCTCAACCCTAGGTTCTCTGCTCATTTTCCCTGTACACTTTCCCTGAGTGATCTCTTACAACATCATGGCTTTATTTACCAGTAAAAAGAAGATTCTCAGCTCTCTTTCTATCCTAGATCTCTCTTCTGAGGTCCAGATTCATTTATCAAACTGACCCTAAGACACTTCACTTAGTTGAATCTCAGGAAACTCACCAACCTGTATTAAATATATTCCCCCCAAATTTCACCCCAGGATGTCATTACTGTCATCCGAGTCACCCAAGGCAGAATACTGTACTCTTCCTGTATAGTCTGGTGTCTAATAAGTCATCAAGTGATACACATTGAGCATCTCCATTGTCTTGCTTTCAGTTCCCTCCATTATTACCATTGCCCTTGTTCGTATTTGGATCATCTCCCACATGGATTACTGCATAATATCTCCCCACTCATGTTTCTGGCTTTCTCCTGTCTAAAGTATCGCGAGTACCATTTCCAGAGTCATCTTTCTGAACTGCAAACTTGATTGTGTCAAGCCCCAGCTTAGCATCCTTGAAGAGTCCTGCACACCTCAGGATCTAGTTAAAATTTGCATGTTTTATTTTTGGGCCCTCTCTAGCATTGTCTTCTACTTCTCCCCCATCTGCATTCACTCCAGTCATGCTCTTTCTGGTCTTCTTGTCATCAGCATGCTGTTGTCATATCCTAACATGCTTTCCCTACTCCCTTCTTCGTCTAGCAAACTTCTAGTCACCCTCCAGAAACTCAGAATAGTTGGAACTAAATAGAAGTAATGGTTGAACAACATTGTGAATGTACCAAGTGCCACTGCATTGTATACTTAAAAAGGGTTATGAGAATGTTTTGTGTTAATAGAGTTTGTCCTCGATTTAAAAAAATAAATAAACACTCAGATTAGGCACTGTCTCCTGCAAAAGCTTACCCTTATTCCTCAGTGTGACTTTTACATGTCTGTCCGATGTATTCAGTTGCTCCTGTGTATATAATTGTCACTGTCAGTGATATTTATCACAGGGCATTATAATCATTAATTTACCTGTCTGTGAACAATATATAATGGGTCTTTAATAAATATCTGTTGAATAAATGAACAAATAAAATGAAAGAACATTGAAATTTGCTTCTCTATTTTTGTTTCCCTGAATAGCACTACCACCCAGTTGCTCAAACCAAAACACTAGAAGTCTTTCTAGACAGCTCCCTTCCGTCCCTCTAATCCAATCTATCCTGTTACCAAGTTTCATACACTTTGTCTTAGAAATATCTTTAAGTCTTTCTCCTCATATTTGTTCCCAATCCCATAGATTTCATTGTTCCTTGCCTAGACTGTGCCAACATCCTCCTCTCAGATCTCCCTGCCTCTGATTCTGCTTATTCCCAATCCATTATCCACACCACAGAGAATTATCTTTCAAAAATCCAAATCATATCGTGTCATTTGCCAGTTTAAAGTCCATTAGTGAATCATCAGAGCTTTCCTGCCTTGGTGGTGCCTACCTCTCCAGCTTCATTGTCACTTACTGCTGCATATACAAAATTACTTGCAATTCCCCCAAAGGTCCCACTATCTTCAGAAGCCACTGTGCCTTGGCCCTTTCTGTTCTCTCCTCTTAGAATACCTTCTTTCCTTTGTCCAGCTGAGGTCTATCTGCTCTTCAACCTCCGTAGCTTTAGTTGCTTCCTCTGGGAGCCTTCACTGACACCCAGTTCCCTACTCTGAGTTGTGTGCCTCTTCCTTACACAAGACCACCTTATACATTTTTCTTATTTTTGGTTCCCATGATTTGACTGTGTATCATTTACATGCCTATTTTACTGTGGTTTTCTCCTCTGCTAGGCCATGATGATCGCCTTGAGGATAACAATTGTTTCATTTTTTAATTTGAATAACTAAGCAAAATGCTAACGCTTGGATTATTAATGTTTTTCTATTAGTGAGTAAATGAATGAAATCTGCTACCTTTTATTTTTCCTAAAACTGTCTTTTACCTGTCCTGCAATGTGAATTTTGTCCTTTAGGATCTGGTTTCCAGTTGTACTTTGCAGGCCCCTTTTTATGAAACACAGTCACTCATGGCCTCCTGACTAGTCATTGCTCTTCCTCCCTTGGGTTTACACAACTTAAGGAGAGATAAGAGCCCCTGGAAACCAGTGGAATACCACACTGCCACTCTTACTCCAGGGGCTCAGCCTCTTCATTCCCTAAAAGGCTGTGCCCTGGTCGGGCAAAGTGAGGTAAAGAATACGCCCCAGACACCTGTCAGAATTACAGCATTTCAAGAAAAGGTCATGTCAGGCCTCCCTCTACCAACCCTTCCAAGTTCTAATCCGGACAAGCACATGTGGAAGTGAAACCGTTTACCACAGATAGCTACTGGAACCCATGTGCTGGGACTCGAACCATCCAAAGCCCAGTTGGGGACTTGAACCCACATGGCTGGGACTCAAACCCAGCCAAAACCCACAGTACCTGGTTTTTGGTGCTAATGAAGCTCAGGTTCTTGATATCTCATTGCAGAAAGAATTTGGTGAGAGACAAAGTGATAGGTAAGAAGTAGATTTATTCAGATACAGAGAGAAGCAAGCTCCACAGACAGAGTGTGGGCCACTGCAAAGCGTCTACCTGCAATGTAGGAGACCTGGGCTCCATTCCCTGGGTCGGGAAGATCCCCTGGAGAAGGAAATGGCAACCCACTCCAGTACTCTTGCCTGGAAAATCCCATGGACGGAGGACCCTGGTAGGCTACAGTCCGTGGGATTACAAAGAGTCAGACACGACTGAGATACTTCACTTTCACTTTAGTTTTTATAGGCTGGGCAATTTAACATGCTAATGAGTGGGAGGATTCCAACTCTTTGGGGGAAGGGGCGGAGATTTCCGGGATTTGGGCTACTGCCCTTTCCTTGGTCTCTCAGCAACGCCTTGGAAATGTCAGGGCACTTCTGGGTGTGTCATTTCACTTGCTGATTGAGGATCAAGATCTAGTTTTGTCTGCTATCATTATCCCATTTGATTCTAATTGGTTTATGTTGTGTGAATTATTTCAAAAGTTGTGCCCTGTCCCTTTCCCTCCTGTTAAAAAAGTAATGGGTGAAGAGAGGGAATGTGAGGAAGGGAAAAGAAGGATCTAATAATCATTCCCATGCCCAGAGCAACCATAAAATTTGCCAGGGCCCGGCACAAGCATATTCACCCAGGCACCCTTACCAGGTTTATCTGAGGGATTCAGGGTGAGTCTTTTGCTGGCCTGGATACCAAAAGGAGGAGGCAGCTGTGAACAGTTGGTAATAAGAAGCCAAAGGAGAGTTTCTGGACAAAAAAAGAATGGAGATTGTTCTTGCCTTGGTAGGACAGCTCAAGATTTTGCCGCCTTCTCTTCTCTTTGAAGAGTGACTTTGAGGAGATACCCCATGTCCAAGGGCAGAGGAGAAGCCACAGCAAGACGGTAGGAGGGGTGAAATCACATTTAGAATCAAACCCCATGCCCACCAGAGACACTCAGAGGGCTGCAACATACCTTGTGTGCACCAGGACCCAGAGCCCCCACAGAGGCTGAGTCAGACTGTGTCTGAGCGTCTCCTGCAGGGGTCTGGGTCAGCAGTGGACCGCTGCAGGGGCGGGGGCTCTGGGTGCAGCAGACCTGGGTATGGCATCAGCCCTCTTGGAGGAGGTCGCCATTAACCCCACCATAGAGCTGCCAGAACTTACACAGGACTGGGGGAACAGACCCTTGGAGGGCACAAACAGAACCTTGTGCACCAGGACCCAGGAGAAAGGAGCAGTAACCCCTCAAGAGACTGACCCAGACTTGCTCATGAGTGTCCAGGAGTCTCCGGCAGAGGCGTGAGTTGGCGGTGGCCTGCTGCAGGGTTGGGGGCACTGAGTGTAGCAGTGTGTGCATGGGACCTTTTGAAGGCAGTCACCATTATCTTCATCACCTCCACCATAGTTTGGCCTC